CACGAGTTGTGAGCGTGAGCCCTAGAAAAGGGATATACATACGCATGCGCATGTTTTTGTGAATAATTTAGACCGAGGAATCCCCCACCGGCGGTCGATTCATTATTTCTGAGTGCGTGCCACCTCCCTCTCTTCTACCGTACATCTCGAAGATTTTGGCCAAGGGGCTCGGCGGGCTCAACTCCAGCCGACATGGTCACGGCGGTGCCTCCCTCAACACGAGCCGCCACGGCGGCGGCGGCGGCGGCGGCACCGGCGGGGGCGGGGGCGGCGGGGGCGGGGGAGTGGACACTCGCCCGGCGATCGTGCGCGCGGCGACGTCGCTGAACGAGAGCCGCCACAAGCTGACACAGGGGGTAAGTGACTCGAGTCTTCCTGTTGGTATGCTGGTTGGTACATTAGGGGCAAACGCAACACACGTGTGTGCACTGCTGGGTGTTTTTTTGCTAAAGAGCGTGTGTGGTGACGAGGCCTGCTCGTTGAAGTCGAGCTTTGGGAGTGTGTCTTGTTTGTTCGGTGTGAAAGTATTTCTTTTGGTCCGCGCTTTGCCCTCGAAAACAAGAAACGGGCAACAATTGAGCATTGCAATGACAACGCATGAGCTGCGAGGAAAGGGCCATGTGCTAGCAGTCGCTACAGGGTGTGCGGACGACGGCAGTGCGTATCGTGCACGAATCCAATGACTATCCCGAACCCCCCCCACACCCTCCAGCTTCGACGCGAACACGGGCCAAACGAAGAATAATTTTGTTTTCGTTCTGACAAAATCCGCAACCTGTAACGCCCCATGTGATACCCCCCCCCCCCCCCCCCCCCCCCCCCTTTTTTTTTTCCCACTGGGGGGCCCCGTCAGCCGGGGGCCGGTGTCCCACCCCCAACAAGGGGAGAAGGCCCCCCCGGGCCCCCTTTGTCACAACAGGGGGCGGGGGGGAGGGGCTAAAATCCTTTTCCCCCAGGGGGCCCCCCCCCCAAAGGGTGGAAAACCCCCCGGGGGGGGGGATGCCCCCCCCCCGGGGGGTGGGTTTTTTTGCTTTTTTTATTAAGGC